GACCAAAAAGACCCCCAAGATGGCATACATGTTAAACCTAAGACAGTATCATAACAACCAAATAAAAAATTGAACCAGCAAGTCACAACTGGCCCGGAAAGAACTGGCCCACCTGCATCTTCAAAGTCTGGTAAAGGGTGCAAGGGGGGGGGGGGGGGGGGACACTGGAATCACCAGGATATGCCTTCTCCTGAGGATTGTCCAACCTCCATCCTTCCCCTTTCAAAGCACCTGAGCTAGACAGCTGAAAAGAGCCATTTTGCTAAAATGCAGCACAGGAGGGGCAGGGCTGCAGAGACTGTCTCCATTGCTTCTTCCACATGGCACTGGATGCTCGTAAGTCTCCCAATTAATTAGAAATGATATCATAAATCTCATAAGCCTCCAAATGAGCCAAGCACCATGTTCCAACCATCTACTTTTCCTGCTGCTGGGACACATTACAGCGTCTCCGAAAAAAGGTCTCAAGGGTTTAAGGGAAGAAGAGGTCCTCTGATAACCTGGCGCCAAACTGCTTGGGACTTTATAGGCAAAACAGCTTTTCAAACTGTGTTCAGAAACAGAGCCAGCACAGTTGATTGCAGTCATATGGTCAGCAAAAAATGCACCCAGAAGGAATATGTTGTCTTGTTTTTCATCAGCTACAGTTTCCAAACACTTTCAAGAGCACATGACAATGGTCTTAACAGGAGAGGACAAGGCATGGATTACTGTGGCAAAGTCCACCTTCTTTAGGTAAGAGTACAATGTGTGCATTAGCCAAAGCTGGGCAAAGGGACTCCTGGTCACAGCCGCCACCTGATCCTAGTCTAGGAGTACCCCAAGCTGCAAACCTGATTTCTGTCCTCATTCAGCTTAAGCTTGCTCTGCTTGGGGAATATGGGAGAAGTCCCCTGTAATGGGGATACTGTGAAGAACTCTTAATGAACATTTTTGGAGGCACAGGATAGAATTTTTGGGAGAAATGAAACATCAACTGGTCTTGTGAAAACTAGGAATATATATGCCTATGTAGAAGTGTGTGAAGTGTGTGTGTGTCCCTAGAGATCCTGTCTGAGAAAACTTGGTTGAGAGGTGGGAGGGGGAATGGTTTACACCTATAGGGAAGAAATGGTTGATCAGTATAGCTGCAGCTATTTGAGCATTTGGAGTGGCATGTCAAAGGCAACCCACAGTGATAAAATGTTATCTGTCTTTGTAGTGGCCAATGCAATGAGGCACTCATAAAAATAAGCACCCAGCTACAGGAACCCTCCACCTATCCTATGTGTTCTTGGCAAGTGCCAGGCAAAACAGGAGAGGAGGATGATATCAGCTCCTGTTGCCCCTGAAAACAAGCAGCTTGGTAGGTGTATGAGTCTGTTTGACTTATGCACTGGTGCTGCATGGAGATATACATCAAAAAGGGCCTTTCCATGGCAGCTGAGAGGGGCAGGGAGAGGTGGAAAGTATATGTGGTTGTGTTTCCCAACCTAAGGTGATAAGAGTGACTATGGCCTTGGAGGGCTGACTCTCCTATGGTTCCTGGGATGCTGTCCCAGGGACCATTAGATTGCTGTTTTAGGCTTAGATTAGTCTCACTGTATAGTCTATAGATCATATGGCTTACATTTTCTGATCCATATTGCCAGCTGATTGTCTATGTCCAAGCATCTGCTGCAGGTTGCTAAAAATGACATTTACTATTACCAAAGCAGGTTGGCAGTTCATTTCTACAGCACCATAAACTTCAAAAATCTGGATTATATTACAGCAACATTTTATAACACTTTTAGCCCCAGCAGTTTCTGACTAAAAACATGTTTGTGATTTGACTTTGTTCACTGACATAAATTCTTCCGCTTTGTCTCATTGAAATGCACAGAGCAGAATCCTTTGTGACACAATGGAGAGAGTAACGACCTTAAAATGAATCCCAGAAGCAGGGTAGTCTTTTGTACATAAGGGCTACTAGTGGGCATCTTGATCATGGCATTTATTAAACTGAAGCATTTGCTTTAAAAGCAGAGTTCAAATACTTTGGGATGAAATTAACAACACATAAATACAATGCCTTGCAGGCAGACCCTACTCCACACCCATTTCTTTAAAAAATAATAATACTAAAAACATAAAATCAAAAGGCAATAGCTTGCAATGGAATTGCCCTGCTCGCACTCTACACTTTGATCGCTTTCACAACACGGAATGGACTTGCCCCACACTTAGAGTCAATTGATCACAGATGAAGAACATACAAAAGAACACATCACGCATGCAATGAGGAGGCACACAGGGACAAGCTGTTACGAACTGAAGACAGAAGCTTTACGTGCATCAGGAAGGGTTTAATCCAGTACTGGCAGAGGGATCCTTTGCATGTTTGACACATGTGTAACTGATCTTATGCATGTTTACTCAGCAGTAAGCTATACTGAGTTCAAGAGTATTTATTCCCTAATAAGTTTGCATAGAATTGTAGTCCTAGCCACCAGAGGTTTTCAAAACCATGGTGTGCTTGTTTTGTTGCTTGACAGGGGTAAAGGGTGGTCGAGGGACATTACCCTCACTGTGATCCAGTTGGAAATGAATTGTGTTCAGATGGCAGGAGCTCATCTGTCCACAATGCTGAGAACTGCATTATCTGTGATAAAGGTCTGTGTGATATTAGGACTATACAGAACACAGTCTCCTTGCATGGAGAAAAATAGGAAATGTCTTCTCTACCTAAATACATGCTGAAACTACTGGGTCTGCCACCTTCCTTCCCCCTCCATAAGGACATATGAAAAGCTATGCTGGATCAAACCAAAGATCCCTCTAGTCTAGCACTCCATACACATGGTGGCAAACCAGCTGCCCGATGAAACTCTCAAGCAGGGTGGGACCCCTTCTTGCCCAAGCTCCTCAGCAACTGGCGTGTCCATGGCCTGTTAGGAACCGGGCCGCACAGCAGGACTCTAATATTGAACGATCCAGAGTTCGAATGTTAGAATTGAGATAAGATCGCCCTGCAGTTCGAACGATGCTTCTAAGTTCGAACTGCAGGCTGAAAAAAAGTGGGTCTCAGAGAAACCGTCATCAGTTGTGTGCCCAAGTTGAAAAAAAACACATTACAGTAAAAGACACATTGCCTCTATGTCCTGAACCAATTTGTCCTGTCTTGAATCCATTCATCTTGAAACAATTCAGGATATTGAAGCAGCCACTACAGTGCAACTAAAGAGACTCAAAAACGATGGGTAAATGTGTTCGAAGTGAGGAGAAGCATTTTGAGAGGAATTAATGAGAATGTATCTTTTACTGTAATGTTTAAGCATTCGCCATATTGTTTGAGCACACCTTTTACTGTATATAACCTCAAACCTAATTTGTTTCAGAAGGCCATATTTGCTTTTTAAATTTATTGAAATGGGTATTGTTTAGGGTCTGGGAACGGATTAATTCACTTTCCATTATTTCTAATAGGGAGAATTGATTCAGACTTCGAATGATTCAGAGTTCAAATGGCCTCCTGAAACAAATCAAGTTTGAACTATGAGACACCACTGTAATGCGCTTGAATCATCTTGAAATCATCCTCCCCTCCAATCCGTGGAAAAATTGCCTTCCACGAAACCAGTCCCTTGTGCCAAAAACATGGAGGACTGCTGGTCTAGACAGCCAGAAGATAGGTCGAAGTTCTAGCTCAGAAATACCTTCCAATGTTGGAGCCAGAGAACCCTTCACCCACCCTCACAGGAGGTGTGGTTCTTTTTACATGGCCTTTTTACATGGCCTGCTGCCCCCAAGTCTTAAGTCCAACGTTGGAGTCAGTGTTAGCAGGGCGAGGGGAGGAATGAGGCTTTACTGGAATATAAGGAATGCTGGTGGTGCCTCAACCCTTCCTCCCTGCAAGCAGGGCCAAAATCAGGAACCTATGTCTGCTGCAGGGTGGGAGAAGCACCAAGGTAGTCTTTGCCTCCATCTTTTTCTTGCCCTCATTTGGAAACCCACAATCCTCCAAATTGCCTTGGATAGTATTCTGCCTTGTATTTCCTATACATTCAGGCAGTTGAAAATGCCCGTATGTATACTAGCATCATTAAGATGCAAAACTAATAATCGTTAGCCTGCATGTGTAACATTTAGACACTGGCTGTGGTGTACTGTGATTGCGTGCTGACTTAAATCCTATTTCGAAAGCAGTAGTTCCACTGTGAATCGGGAAAGAGGGAGTGGTCCCACAGCTTTTTTGAAACTTGTTTTATTGAACTTGATGCAACTTCCGTCGTTTTAGGGTTATCAGTCAATAGTTACACTCGCTTGCTTGCTCAGGTATAAGCTTATGTCTTTGAAATATGCATGTCCATGGCAAGGAGAGGATATGGATACAGTGATTCCATCCAAAATATGCCCATGGCACATACCCTTTCTTGCCCTTTCACCAGATCCTTTCCTGTGAAATTGATCTCCAGAATGAACACTCAAGTTGGCAGCTAGGAGATCCACTGGAGGCGCGAGGAAAAGAATGAAACCGGCAAAAGGCCATTTCTATCCGTTTGGCTTGGGGGTCAGGCCCCATCCTAACCCGCCCCAACCAGCCTATCTTTCACTTAGGATAACGCTATTCCTCATATGGGATCTCTTTTCTTCTAGCTCATCTCTTCTAAAACATCTGAAGGACTACAAGTCGCCCACACCTGCTCTGTACCGTTCCCCACCGAAGCTCCCGCTTCGTCCACTGGAGGAAACGGGGTCCGGCCCACGAAACCTCGCCTTGTTTGCGGTGCAACCAGGAGACTCTCCCGCGGCCCCACAACGAGCTGCTCGGGGTCCGTGCGCGAGGGGGCCCGAGCCTTGCTGAGAGCAAGGCTCGCTGCGCGCAACGGGGCTTCCTCCCGGCTAATCGCTCAGAGGGCGAGGCAGCCACCGTGCAGAGAAGGGGACAGGGAGCAGGACGCCCGCGCGGGCCGAGGCGGGCGCTCGCCGCTTCTCCGCGTCCCTCGTCCTCTCGCGTCCTTTCGCGGCACCGCCTCTGCCGGGCGTCACTTCCTCGGGAGCAGCTGGGAGAAGGAGGCGGCGGCGGGCACGAGAAGATGGCGGCGCTGGGGGAGCCTGTGCGGCTGGAGAGAGGTGAAAGCGAAGGGGCGCGAGGCGGGCACGGACGGGCGGGCGGCGTGGCGGGCCTGCCGCGGAGCGCGGCGTGTGCACGGGAGCGCTGTGTGGGAGCAGCGGCTCCTGGCAGCCGGTGAGGTCTTGCGCCTGGGCTGTCGGCGAAGCCTCGTGGCCGAAGGCGAAGGGTATCCCTGCCGCCTCCGCGGGCGGCTTTTCCTGTGCAACTTGCGTGCCGTCCCTTCTGCCCTCGCATTAACTCGTGTCTCGTCAGTCCCCTCCCCGCGCAGCTGTCAAAACAAGATCTCCCGTGTATCTCCGCTTGCTGGGGGCGAAGCGGGAGAGGTTTGTGCAGGAGGAAGCTCAAGAAAAGTGCTTTGAAACCTTGCGGAGTACGACGGGGGGCGGGGGTGGAATGAGAATTTTATTTAATTTTTAATTAAAAACCATCATTTTATAATTGAAGCAGACACCTTTGTAAAAGTTATTGAGCTTGCGATTCCTGCCCACTTCAATATTGGGTCTAGAACTCGGAGGGTTCAGGCCTCTCTAGTAAATGCAATGTGAGCTGTTGGAGATTAGTAAATAGGCCTTTGAGGCTGAGTGGGGCAATCTGGCATGGAGGAACTTAGATGCATCTCTCTCTTCTGCTGCAAGCAAAGCCAGTTCTGAAATTCTTGCCACCAGCATTAAATTCTCACTGGGTTGATTTTATTTAGAAAAGTTTCCAGCTCATGAATATACAAGTAGGACCTGCAAGAGATACCTAGTTTAACTGGTGAGGCAGTGCACGTTTCGTTTTAAAGGAATTAACTTTTGACTTGAGTTATGCTGAGAAGTGGCATAAATGGGATTTTTTAAAATGATCCCTGGCAGCTTGGGTAGTCTAGTAGCTAATGCTGAACTCTTACTTGGTAGCTGTGAATTTTATACAGTCACTAGATTGTCACGCCATTATATTGTGCTTTCTTGTCTCCTTCAGATGATAAAAATATCAAAATCCTACCTTCTACAATTATTGCAGATCTAAATAAGCTTGTAAAAGTTAAAGTTCTGAATAAGGTGATGTACTAAACATGAAACCAAGAAGTTTTGTGGTCTCTAGTGAATTTTCAAAAAATGATTCATTTTCCTCTCTTCAGAGATACAGCTGACTTTCAGATAAAGGTTGTGATTTTGACATGATTCTTTCATGTGTTCTGTTTCTTTCACTTACTGAAACAACAGTATTGTAGTTCCTATAGAATAGCATGCAGACATAATCCAAACCCCAAATCCTTATTCTCAGAATGACTACATAAAAATTGAAGAGACTCGGTGCTCAGGCATGCAACTGCAAGCTGCAGGAACTGCACCTGTTTATAATTCAAGTGTCATATAATGTAACAACATAAAGTGCAACTTCTGAAAGACTTGGAATTGCTGAAAACTTGTGCCAGTTATCAGCTCATAAAATTACTATTTTTTTAAACCAGTGTTGGTCTTGAAGAGTGTTTAAAGCAAAGGGGTAGTATTGTCTGCCTAGAGCAGTGGTGGCAAACCTATGGCACGTGTGCCGCAGCGGGCACACAGAGCCCTCTCTGTCAGCGCATGAGCCAAGTCACCTCAGCATCGCCCTAGCAGCCGAGCATCGGATAATAGCGCATGTAGGGGCCATGTGCATGCTCAGAAAGGAGTAGCATTGCTAGGTGATGATGTCATGAGCCGCAACTCATTAGCTGCGACTCGTCTAAGCTTTTGCATGGCCGGTCAGTGGGCTTCCAAGATATATATATATATAGATATATATGCTTGGACTGGCTGTGAGTTTAAATACATTCATTTTTATTAACACAAGATTTTAGCTTTGAGTATCAGCATGTATACAACAGCAAAGATCACATGAATTGTGCAAAAGCACGCCAATGCAAACGTTTACCTTTCAATAAAAAGACAAAAGATGTTAATGTATGAGTTGTTTTTTTTAAAAAAAACTAAAACCTCAGTATTCAGGTTTTATTGCAGTGTTGGCACTTTGCGATAAATATGTGGGTTTTGGGTTGCAGTTTGGGCACTCAATCTCTAAAAGGTTTGCCATCACTGGCCTAGACGAAATATACCTCCTGTGTTTTGCCTAATAATTGATACTTTTAAGTTAAAGGATCTGGTCAGCAATGGAATTAAGCTAAAGTACTTGGATTCATGACTACTTAATTTAGCTGAAGTGCTTGGGAGAAAATTGGGTTAAATGCAAAACCCTAGCAAGATACTGCTATATATTTGGCTGTCCAGGAAAGCATTAAAGTGAACCACTGAATCATGAATAGCCAAAGATATCTAATTAGGTGGATTTTTAAACAATTCTTCAAATGGCCAGGTTATTCTAGTTCATAGTTTGGAGAATGCATGATGGCTTGGTGTAAACTTTCCACTGTTAGTTGTTAAACTTACATTCTTCCTTAAATGAGCTCTGGGTTTCAGCCTCCTTTATTCTTGCCATTATCCTTTGAGGTAGGTTATGCTAAGTGAGAGTGATTGGATCAAGGGCATACTACAGAGTTCATGGCTGAGAAAAAGTTCTAGATCTGTGGTTCTGCTTTATGTCTGGTTACAATGAGAAGGAAGCTCTCTAAATAGAAACTTGCATCGAAGCTTTGCTTCATTCTCTTGATATCTTTTCTCCCTACTACAAGCCTGCCTGTTCATTACAACAGGACTTTATTGAGTGAATAAGCTATATCAGGTGGTTTTCCTTGGCAAACAAGAATTTTAGTATGATCCTGTTCAAGCCACTTCTCATTGTGTAAATACAAACATGGACAAAATAAGTCACATGTGGAAAGGTGATATTTTATATGTTCACATTTTCTTTGGATTTTGAAATGTTTCCCAAAGAAATTCCTATTTAAAAGTGAAACCATTATGTTGTTTTCACTTCTTCCATAACAATTGTATTAAAACATTTACATGAACTTTCTTCCAAGAGTTGGAATTTAATGTAATGCAAATGTAGCATTTATAGCAACTTTACTGTCATACTGAATCTTGCCAAGCAAGAATTAAATCTAAAATATATTATTTCACCTTCTTTAGCTTTAAAAGAAAATATTTGCAGTTTTACTACAAAGACTAAAGAGTGATGGGCTTTCAAACAATATTCTAACCTGTTCTTTGTTTAGAATGTATGCATCAAAGTACTGAAATAGTTCAGTATAACTGCAACTCCTGAAGTGGTGGCAAAGGTTTCAGATATATCTTAACTGTTTTGGGACTAAGCTTATGCATGACTTGGTGGACTACTCTGAGTTTTAGTTTTCATATAAGCATGTTGCAAGTTCCTGAGAAATTCGTGAGAAATTACAAGGGAACAGTTCTGATAAGGAAAGAACAAACAGCTGATTAAGATCTGGCGTGTGTTGAGCAGAGGATGAGATGTAGCACCAGTCACTGACCTCTTTTATTAGTTATGAAATGAGGTCAACTGCCCATGCTGTGTATCTGCACTGTGCTTGCCCCACATGACCTACAAGGGAAAGGGCTATTTTAACTTGATTCAAGTACACCCTTAAGAGGTCATGGGCAGTGTTTACGTATGTGGTGATATATGAGCCGATGGCAACATTTCAAATCCCTGTGTGAAATGTTAAGTCTCAGAAGCATTTCTTCCTTGATATACATGAGACTCCAAACAAAGCTAAGGAGCATAACGAGTGCTGTCTAAAGACAGAACGGGGTTGCACGCAGCCTCCTGAGAAACTCTGTAAATCTTACTGAAACTTATTGCCTTTGATCTGCCTGAGTGAGAATGTATAAATCCATGTGAAAGTTTGCTTTGGGCAAAATGAATTGGCAGCTCAGAGTAGATTGCTGACTTTTCATGTTGTACCTAGGAATTCTCAAAAGTAGAAGGAAAATTTGTCTGTGAGCCAGTTTTGAAGTCCTGATGGTATTTTCCCATGAAAGCATTTTGATCATGATGGGTAGACTCTGGGGTAATAGCTTGATTAAGTCTTAACAGCCGGCTATTAGTAGTTGACATGTTCTAATTTTCCAAAGATGCTATGTCACTTTTTTCTTTTGAAATGTTAGCAGTCATTATAGTGGCTTATTGTAACCCGCAAATTGCTGCTTGGCAATGTTTTATAATTTGTTGTTCAGTCACTCAAGGCAAATTAAACGATATTTGCAATAATATGATGTTTGGACTTGGCTTCTGGCCCTTTCCTTTGTCATGTGAGACCTCTTTGTTTTGATTTTTAATCTTCAAACACTAAGCTTCAGGAAATGCTATTTTTGCTTGGTTGTTGTTTTGAAGGATAAATTATTTCCATCCCCAGTGGTGAAATACTTGTCAATTGCTAGTAAATAATTTTACATCAGATATTAATTGTGGACACAGCAGAAGAAAACACTAAGCTGTGTTCTGTTAAAATACCTTTCTGATCCATGTTCCAGCCATAAGCTCATTCTAACCTTTGGAATATAAGAGCCATAGCATATACTGGGATATGCCATATTACTCCTTTTGAACAAAGCCTGTTACTACTATGTAAAATACAGTGCACTTAGATTGGCATCAAGTGTTGTAACAAATTATATGCTTATGCTTGGCCTTTGAATAAATGTAAGATCATGTTAGGAAGTATTTGATTCAATTAAAAATGTTGGAAGCAAAAAGGAGGTTAAAGAGCCACATGTCTTTGTGATGTCTTTGCTCCATGGAAGCTCCTAAAATAACTCCTGCCATAATGAATAGAACTGAACATGTATACTGCTTTGTTGGGATGGAATGTGTGCCTTGCATGATGAAGTTTGTAAAAACAGGATAAATAGAATTATATCTGTGCTTCACTGTTGGAATTCTTCTCTTATGCCTGTTACACTTGAGCAAAGGTTGTATTTAGCTTCTTGTACAAGCAACGTGTTGCATGGAGGCAAATGTTTGGGCAGGTGCCCCACTGATGATCTGAAAATCATAGGGGAGATTACCAGTCCATACAGAGTCTGGTAGGGTTTGTGATCTCTGATCAAATCAAAAGTATTATTGATGTCCCCTGTCTTTGGAGCTACCTCACCTTCATAACCCACGTAGAAATGTTTGAGGTCTTTTCAGACAAGTAATCTCAAGTATGTGTTTTGTTCTTAGCGGGTGCTCAGGGTTGTTAACATACTAGCTGTTAATTTCAGGGCAGCCTCTCATTGGAGAACATGTACAGACTTACGTGTCATGGAACCCATGTGTGTTGGTTGTCTAGGCTTCTGGGATAAGTTATAATACAGGAATAGGATGGAGGTGATGGGAGTTGCAGTCCAAAATGTAGGAGGACATTGCTGGGTCTTGTTCTAAGGTATACACTAGGGTTAGGGTTTCCATGCATTCATGAAAAGCATGTAACAGGCTTCACCATCTAAGCATGTGAACAGTAAGGTCAACCCAGAACAACATTCTTGCTTCTGCATGTGTATATTACAGGGAAACAATGGTAGTGGAGGTCAAGTTTGCATTTCATTAGAAAAAATTGCTAATGAAAGATCTGTAATGAGGAAGCCCTAATAGGTTTACATTGCAAGAAAGCCTAGGTTCCCCTGGAATTTGAGTGTTGATAAATGCTGTTTTTGAGATTTTGTTAACAAGTTTCTTATCTGATACTAAAACAAATCTTGAGGATCTCGGTACATCTGTATCTGGTTTTGGGGGTTCCTCCACCCTGCAACAGATAAAGGCACTGTAAATGTTACTCTAGGGCAGAGGTCGGCAACCTTAAACACTCAAAGAGCCATTTGGACCCATTTCCCACAGAAACGAAAACACCGGGGGCCACAAAACCTTTTGACATCTAAAATGAAGATAACACTGCATATATCGTTTTTTACCTTTATGCTATGTATAAGAAAACTATAGTGTGTTGCATTTATAAAATCAATGAATGATTCTTTTATAAAATCTCCATCTGTGAACGGCTTCCCATGCCTGACTATTTCCTGAGCGGCCACAAAACTAGCATATGTAGTTGAATTTGCAGACGTAATCCACTTCTTGAGATGATTTTTGCTCAGATCAACCTTCCGCATCAGTTCCGAAATGGCTTTTTTCCTCTCATCTCCATACGGATATTTTTCAGCAAAGGCTGTGTGTTTATTCTGGAAATGTCTTGCAACATTTGACTTTTTGTTGTTTGCCAATTTCTCACCATATATTAAGCATACTGGTAAACCAGCAGTGAAAGCAAACGAATCTGCCCACGTACCATTAAATGTTGTTTTCTTCTGAAACTTTTCTTTTCTTGGATTTATCCATGGTTGGCCTACCGGGGGTTGAAAAGCTCAATAAATCACGTGCTGGCAGGTGTCGCATGTTGGCAGTTGTGACGCATATTTTGAGCGACAGGGAGCCGCAGCAGAGGGATAAAAAAGCCACATGCAGCTCCGAAGCCGCGGGTTGCTGACCCCTGCTCTAGGGAGTCCCTTTTTCATGGGTGGCTTCCGCACAGTTGAAGTGTATAAGCAAAATCTGGTGATGTGTCTTTCAGTAGCACAGCATCAGTTCCATAGTGGGAAGCCACATAACTGGCTCATATCTGTGCAACAGGTGCATTTTGAATGCTACTTAAGCTATGTGGGAGCTGTTTTTTCCCAACCTTGAAGAGACATGATAGTATGCCAGATAGGCCAAAAGTTTCACTTTCCCTGCCTTTTGCCATTTTGGGAATTTATTTATTTATTTAAACATTTTTATGCCGCCCCATTCGCCAAAGCCTCGGGGCGGCTTACAACAATAAATTAAAACCACATAAATTAAAATATACACATTAAAATAATAATAATTTAAAATATACACACACACACACACAATATAAAATAAACCGCCCTGGCCAGATAAAATTCAATAGTATTAACATTTAAAATGCTGCTTAAATAAAAAGGTCTTCGCCTGGCGCCGAAAAACAAATAACGACTTCAGGAGAAGCAAAAAGTGTAGAAAAGCTCTTTGAAAGGAGAGAAAGCTTTAAAACAAAACACTGATCTGACAGTAGGACACTGATGAAGAATTTTGCAAAAAAGGTTGCTAGCTGTCATGATCTGTACTCCTCTTCGAGAATGACAGTTGTATTTTTGCAGTGCACTCCTATGCTTCGCTTGAAAGTAAGTGCCACATGTTCAGTGGGCTTACTCTCAGGTAAGTGTGCAGCCCTAGACTTGCAAATCATTACAAGTATCACTTTTCAGATGTGCTCTTTGCATAATAATGAGTAAAATTATGTGGAAATTATGGGAACTGGGTAAAAAGCTGGTTGGTAAATATATCCATATCCTGGAAGAGAGACAATAAGAAAACAATTGTCTGTGAGTTGCTTAGGTTCCTTTATTTGAAATGGAAAGTTATGAAGGTGATCTAGAAAGAGAGGATTTGAATGCAACCCCATTTCTGTTGTTGAGAATTATACAATATATTCTTGGGTGCCATATCAATAAATTAATAAATTCACTTTTACACACTTAATAAAAGATAGCTCATATTATTTCCCTTTGTAATTTTCTGCAGACATCTGTCGGGCTATCGAGTTGCTGGAAAAGTTGCAAAGGAGTGGAGAGGTACCCCCACAAAAACTGCAGGCATTGCAAAGGGTCCTTCAAAGTGAGTTCTGTAATGCAGTGAGGGAGGTAAGTTTTATTTTTCAAATGTGCATTGTGAATTTCACGAGGATTGTTCACTGAATCTAATATATAAAATTTAAACAAAATGCTTAAGTCTTATCTTAAGCAAAAAGAAAGCAACAGATACAGTTAGGACTCAGTTTGATTTGCAAAATTATAATCAATCCAGTTTGGTAATGTTTTATGGTTCAAGTTTAGGCATCCCTGTCTGTTCTACTATGTATCTGAATATTTTTGTTTTCTAAAGGTCTATGAGCATGTATATGAGACTGTGGACATCAGCAGTAGCCCAGAAGTAAGAGCTAATGCTACAGCCAAGGTAAGAATCCTGTCAGCTTATTGTAACAAAAGGAATGGTTACAGTGTTAAAACATCTCTGACAGCACCTGCCTTGAAAAGTCAAGCTGTTGAACTATGAAAAATACCCCAGAGATTGGGGCTTCAGCCCAGGAGTGCCGCTGTCTTTGCAGAGCTCATCTATGTGTTGATGCAGCATAATGGGCAGGTCACAATACTACTTGTAGTGGGTGCTGATATCAGTGTGAAACCAGGGACTGAAGATGGACAAGGGGAGAATGCAAGAATGTCTCCTTACCAAAGTGTTCTCCTTTTAAGGTGCACTCCTGTGTTGGCTCAGACATGCAGGAAGTTGTAGGTCTTTTTTCTGTCTAAATTTGCACAGGATTGCACCCTAAATTGTTTTTTTCTATTTAATGCACTGAAGTTTTTACGTTACTTTTAAGTTTTAAGTTAGCATTAAGTTACTGAATGCACTGAAGTTTTTTCTACTTAATGCACTTATTTAATCTTCCATAATTAAATATGTTCCCAATATTTAATTTTTAAATATTGTAAGCTGTCCTGAGATTTTTGTATAATAGGACAGCATACAAAAGCTTTAAATAAATAATAAATACTCATATGAAGATTATATTGGTTACCTTTCTGCCAGTATCCATGGAATGGTAAGAGAACATTATTGCTACCCACAGCACCTGAGAGGGAGGGAGATTGTCAGCCCCTGAGTGATGTGGGAACGTCTTTCCTGAAGTGATTCTCATGACTTTGAAAGGGAAACAGTGATGCCTGCCGCCTCTGCTTGGAACATTCTGTTGTGTACTGTCAATCCAATTTGAAGCTTCCTATGAAATGTGTTCTATTTGATTTCAGTGCTCAAGTTAAAAATATATCTCTTTAGAAGAGTGGAGAGTGTTAACTATAGCATTTTTTAAAAGGGAACACATTGCTTCCCTTGGTGTGCATTAAAAATACACTTATAACTAAAATAGTGCACCTATTTGATTGGTATTGTAAATCATAGCACTAAAATAGAAACAATCAGCTAAAAGCAGCAGTGAGAGGGAACCTGTTCTAAAGCTTCACTGCAGGCATTGTAGCCTAAATTTGTCTTGGAAGTAACTAAGCAAAATGCTTTGAGATACTTGTTACTAGGATACACAACCTGGAGTACTCTCCATATTCTTTTCAATGGTCCATAAGTTTGGGATTTCTGTGTTTTACAGGCCACTGTTGCTGCCTTTGCTGCCAGTGAAGGTCATTCCCATCCCAGAGTTGTTGAACTACCAAAAACAGAAGAAGGCCTTGGATTCAACATCATGGGTGGCAAAGAGCAAAATTCTCCAATTTATATATCCCGAATTATCCCAGGTGGTATTGCTGATAGACACGGGGGATTGAAGCGTGGAGACCAGCTTCTTTCTGTAAACGGAGTGGTAGGGATGGAATTTAACTTCCACTTGTAGTAGCTATTTATGACCACTTGAGGGCATTGAAGGGATACTGCTTGGTCTTGTGAAAAATGTGGGTTCTGTTTTCCTTTTCCAAATACTAATTAAGACTAAGGAATTATTATGAAGTGTAGCATTCATAAATGAATTAGTACAAATACAAACTTGCTATTTTAGGATGAAACATTCTGACTCAGTGAATAAGGCAGGTGGCAACATACTGTGAGATTTACAACATGAATTTGCTAAAACAATCTTAACAATCTCTGCAGCGTCTGATGAATGGGTAGGATCCAGACTTAGTCATGCTTAGAGTAGATCCTACTCTTAAGTTTTTGAAGAGCCTCTTAGTTTAATGTGGAAAAGTTGTGGTTTGCCACTGTAACAGATGTAGCAGAAAGGGTATATTTTGCTTTAAAATATCTTGGTTTGCTGCCATATTTTGGCTGCAAGCTGCATCTTTCCCCCTACAAGGTGGACTGTTTTGAAGTTTTCTTTCCCTTCTGCTGCTGCTGTTCTATCAAATCTTGGTGCTGTGGAGCCACAAGAAAGGCCAGAAGGACCACCTACAGCCCATGCATTGCACCCCTTGCTTATGTATAATAAGCTAGACTAATGCAGAGGTTACAACATTGCTGTTTGGCACCTTTCACTCCTCCTGACATAGCTCTTAACTTGGTATATCAAAATATGTTTAGAAATGCATATTGAAATACTTAAAAGTAAGCTTTCATGCTGATGTATAAAAACCTTATTTACTTGAGAATGAATAGATTTTAGTTGGCATATACAAAATATTTGGAAGTGAATTAATTTGTTCACCCGTAGGTATGTGTTCCTGAGTGATCTGAACCAAATTAGCTCAGAATGCAGAACTTTAGCAATTATCCCATACAACAGTGCATTACCTGCATTACTTCAGTGTGATCTGTTCCGATGGATCAAAGCCATTTCAACTATTTAGGTTGGACGTAAACCAGCCAGTGTTCATATAGCCTTTTAGTTGCTGAGTGGAGTTGGGGAAATCTTTGCTTTTTCATGTTCATCAGCCTATGTTAGTAAGTCTTCTATCATGGATGCTATTTTTTTCCAGGCAAGCTGGCTATGATGAATCAGGGAAACCATGAAATGTAGTGAGGTGAGGAGAGAGATTAGCATTCCAAGAGTGGGAAAGAACCTTAATGTGGTAGAAATGAACTCTTCTGGACCCAGGCTTACAAAGGAGGCAAAGGAGTTCCAGAGTAAGCAAGCAAAGCAGGAAGGAACAAGCATGTTGCATCTGATTAGTCCTCACTGAATAAGATCTGTGGGTAGGCTCAGTAAAGTTAGTTGCTCTGTGAAGAGCTAATGTAGTGCAGGGGGACTGGGGAAGATGATGCATGGATGAGGCAAAGCCTCATGCCCTCTTTTCACATCTGGGTGTACTTAGTGAATTGAACAACCTGTTGGAGGGTAGTCATGATTATCAGACACATTTGTGTCTGGCTGTTTCTCCACAGAGCTCTGAGCAACATATTTCTGTACTACTGTCTTATTTTCACAGCTAAGCTATTCATGGCTATTAGTCATGATGGATTTAAATTTCTTCCACTTTTGAAGGCTAGAAAAATGAGTGGAGGAGTGCTAATTGCATTCATGTCCCACTTGCAGGCTTTCCCTGGGTAGCTGGTCAGACACTGTGAACAAAATTGTTTACTGTTTAGGCCTCTGTTCTGATTCATATGGCTGTAGTTTAGGTTGAGAGATAGTGACACGCACCTATCAACTGTATCTCGAAGTCCAAAATGTCATATAGCTGAGTTTTTGTCTTCATAAACAGATTTAGTTGCACAGTGAGGCAGGTCTCCTAACTATGAAGTTAGCTATTTTAAGCCGCAATACACCTGTAAAATTAAACTTTCAGGGCCAAGTTGGCTGCACCTTCCCAGACCTACTTTCCACCCCTCCAGCAAAAAGCACAAAAGAACATCACATCACTAGCTAACACTGAACACATCTATTTTAGATTCCATTTTATTCTATTAATTGAATAGAATTTTAGGCATGACACATAAGAAAGGAGTAAGTGAGCAAGTCAGTGTTTTAAAAGAGCAGTAATGGTGTGGATAAAATATCTTTTTGTACTTACATAGGGACATAACTGGGGCCCACTTGTGGGTCACAACACACAGTTTGGTAAGAGTGTCTTAAGTAAAGTCTAAAATGGTATTTTAGCCAAGTTATGTGCTTAATTTTGAAAACTTGTTACTCAAAACAGATAAAGCAAGCAGAAAACCTCACCCCATGTGTTTGATTACTTCTCAAACATAAGCTCTAACTTTTAAAAATTCCCATGAGGTCATTCTTGCCAACTTGTAAACAAAGAATGTATGAATATTACCATGGCTTTTGATATTTACTAATGGGATGGTTATGATATTTTTCTTGTTTTTTAGAGTGTTGAAGGGGAACACCATGAAAAAGCAGTAGAACTGCTAAAAGCAGCTCAAGGGAAAGTTAAGCTGGTTGTCCGATACACACCCAAAGTCCTGGAAGAAATGGAGTCACGATTTGAAAAAATGAGATCAGCAAAACGCAGGCAGCAGAATTAATATTGTACATATAACTTAAAGAGAAACATGACCCATGGAAACATCATCCTGTAGTTAAAAAGATGTTAATTTTGTTAATACTTGTGTATTGTAAAATATTTCTCCTGAATATCCTAACGCTTCCTCAGAAGAAAAGTTTACGTGGGCATTTGTAGCTATATGATTTTAGAGAATGTTCTTTAAAATACAGACCTATAATCATCAAAACAAATTTGTAAATGTTTTTAAATACACTTTAATAAGCTATTTTCAGCATTTGTAACATTGGTTTTTCTAGTAATTTTTGCCATTTGACATTATTTAGAACTGGAAAATGTTTATTTTGGGTACAGATATAACGTCTTAATTCTTAGCAGTAAAGCGTGTCATCTACATACAGACAGTCATAATTGTGTGATTAAGTACACTTTGTACTTTTGAAGAACAAGTTTCTATGTGTGTTCTAGATCATAACTTTATATTTTGGACTCTTTCTTACCTCTTTTGTGAATAATTTGTAACAGACAGCCTCTTATTTAATGTTTCAATGACTGGCATTTGAAAATCTAGCAGCAATCATTCCTATAATTTATATACTTTTGTACTAATGTCTGAACACTTGGAGGAATAGCAATGCAATGTATTTCTATTTAGCAGGATAAAACTTGCATGCAGTTTGGAATGAAAATGTATACCTTCTTCTGACTTTCTCTCTTCTAGTGTACTTACCTTACCTTTTTCCATTTGGATATGTCTGTTAATGACTTTATTCATGACAACTATACATTACCTCCAGCACTGAAGGTAGAATACCTCCAGTATCAGTGGCTGAGGAACACAAGCAAGAGGATTTGATTGTACTCATGTTCTATTTGTAGGCTTCTGATTAGCCCGGTTGCTGTGGTGACAGAACGCTAGGCTAAATTGATCAGCATGGCTTCTGCATTCCTAGAAGCAATAGATATGGCCCAAACAGATACATTCATAGATACCTTACAATTCTTTGTTACAGCATGAGAGTTCTGTGACGATGCTCTTAGTTCTATGCCACTGTGAAAACAGCAAGTGGATTTCAGGTTTGCTTTTGCAAAAGTGCTAAGGCATTGAATACAGTGGTTTCTTTAAGAAAATAAGGCATTCTTAGTTTATGAAAATGTGTTTGGGTCATTTAGCTCAAAATAGATAGATTTCTGATACATGGGGCAGTTTTCTCTCTGAGCAAGTTCCCCATTCTTCTAAAGAGTTGAAAACTATGACTGAATTCACTGAAATAGCTTCTGATGATATACATTGAGAGAAAGCAGGCATATGGGTGGAGTGCTTGGAAAATGTCCCCTTTAGTAAAAACTCCATTTTGGATTGTAAACCTGAAGTAGATCTGTGAAGAATTTTTTTACTGGAGAAGCTGCCAGAATCATGGGCTCATCTGCCAACTTAATGTATGTTGATTCCTCCAGACTGCCCTGATTTTACGAATTTCTCAAGATTGCTCTCACTATTGAGTGGTATGGAAATATAAAAAGTAATGGATGAAACTATCTTGAACTGTGTAGTCCTCACACTCCATGCCTAGCAGATGCTCTACCTCAAAATCACAGGGCTCTAAAGCTCTGTTTAAGACTAAATTTGTTTCCGCTCTTGCAGCTTTTGCTGCCAAGTGGAAACCAATTGCTTGTAGTAATGAGTGCCACAGTTTGCAGCTGAATCTTCCTGTTTGGGCCTTTAGGACAGAGCTGGTGGATCCATACAGATGTGTTGGAATAAAATCCCTACCATCTCTGATTTTTGGCCATGCTGGCTGCAGCTGATGACATTTGGAGTCCAACAATATTGAAGGCTTCACATTCCCCTGTGCTGCTGTAGAAACCCATGAAGGAGCTAATGAGGCCTTTAAAAAACTCATGGGTGTTGGATACTAATGTAGTTACTAAATATCAGCAAGCTTGTTGGAATTCGAGTTACTGGGCAGAGCAGACTGATACCTGTATATAAACTTTCAGAAAGGTGAGGGGGGGCTGAAGGATAGAGTCATAAATTTCCTGTAAAGTCATATAGAAGCTCACATTGCTGCATATGTTACAAACAAGGGTTTAATATTCTGACTTAATACAGTGCTACTTAAAACATTCTCTCAAAGAAAATTTTACAATTTTGAAGCTTTTCAGCTACTTGTGACAGCTTCATTCTGCAGATCCCAGGTTTCGGGAACTATTTCATAATGGCTCATCTAGAGAAGGTGGTTTCAGTAATAGAACATGAAACCTCTAGACTAACTTAAGCAACATGCTTATTTCATGAGATTTATTTCTTAGTAAGTGTGCTTAGAATTGCAGCCTTTAAAGTTCTATCCAACATCATACAGATGTACTTCCACTGATGCAGCAAGACTTAGCTGCCCTCTTCGTCACCTCCGTCTCCAAAATCTGATCTGGGTAGCCCCCTAACACTCCAGAGCAGATTTAGGAGCACAGAAGGTGATGCAGTGCAGAGAGGGAATTATCTATTATGCGGGCAGAGCAGTCATCCTTGATTGTATCCGTTGCCACAACTAGTTTTCAGTACTTTGTTCTTTTGTCACCACCCGTTTTTAGCATTGTTTTAACTGAACTTCAAACCGCAACTTTGGTTTCTTCCACAACAGCATCCTGGTCATAATGTGTTTTTGCTTATATAGAAAGTGTCAGGTACCCAGTCGATGTGTAGAGCCCTGCTTCGTTGTCTTTTTCACTGATTTTTCCTTTCCCTGCTTTACTCCTTGCCTGAGAATAGAAATTGTCAATGCTTCCACCTCATAAAAGAAATAAAAGAGTTTTATTTTGAAATTGGAAATTCTTTTGTTAGCCTCACTATCCCCAGGATGTGAGATTTCAGTGATAAATGCATTCAGGTCACTAGAAGAGTCTTGTCACACCATCTCTGAATGACTAGAATTATATGCAATCAAGCATAACTATAGTTCCAGTATAAAAGTTCGTGAGAACATGCTTTTCCAGAAGATTGGGTTTTAAAAAAAATAATATAGTAGCATGTATACAAGCAATCATAACCCCTCTCTGATCATTTAGCCTTTATGAGCCTGTCTGTAATAACAAAATATTTGTTACTAAAACCCAGCAACTGTGCAATTCTTTTTAGTCAGTTTAGGTGAGACTGAGCACTGAATCACCTGGGTTAAGTGTGTAGCGTGCTGCAGAAGGCAGCTAGTAGAGCCACCATTTACTTTTTAGGGAGCAATTCATATTTAAAGTATTGAGACCAAAAGAAGTAGTGGGCCAATCATGAAGTATTTTATTTTAATTTGTGTTGAAACTTTCTATATTAAGAGAATAGAAGCAAGTAAAAGCTGCTATTATAAAATGTGCTCATCTAATGTTATTTGGTTGTAATGCTTAGGGATTTTTATTACCAAGTTTGGCTTTTGGATTCGGTAGGCTAAGATGGTAATATACTCTCAGTTTGGAGGATTATGGGCATCCTATGCAGAGTGGGAACAGCATGGATGCAAAGGTCACCTCCTACTACTAAAGTAGCTCGACAGCTGTTTTGGGCCATCTATCTGTAGCACTTCCAAAGGGAGGGAAGAGGGCTGAGCTGCTGCCAGAATACATCATGTTGTTGTCGCTCTTCTCACCTGCCCCCCCCCCCGGAATGTGCCCTGAATCTCTCCTTTGAGGTAGCTCTTAGAGTCTTGAAGAAGTTGCTCTCACTGTTTTTTTTCCCTGACAGCTGTGAGGTTGGATAGAGGAGGAACCAAGTGGAGGTCAGAGCTCCTTTCCTATGTCAGATCTGGGAATCTAGAAGATTCTTTGGTGCTCTAGATTCTGTCTCTGGTCCACAGGATTGCTCTGCTCCGGGTCCAAAACACATGGATTAAAATTGGCACCTTGTCTTACTAAACAAAAACTATGTAAACCAGATTATGAGAGCAAGGTAGGGTGGAAAGGAATCTAAAGCCATCTTATGTCCCAAAGGTAGTTCAATATAAACTGTGAAAAAAAGTTTTTCTTAGTTGCTGCAGTCTATATAGATTCATAAATGAGATCTCTAGGCTAAGTTGAAAACCAGCTTTTAAACTAAGGTTAGAGTTAGATTCGTTGGAGAATCAAGTTAAGGACATATGGAATACTACTGAACAGGTGTTGTGACTACATTGTATTGTGTGTGCACTTATGCAATAATTTAATAACCAGCACAGATTAAAGGTGAACTATACTGTGTGTGTAGTCTTTATGCATTGAATTGCTGCTTCAGGGCCCTGTGATTTTTTTCTTCAGTATGAAAATAAAGAATTGAACTTTTATATTTCTTGATGTTTTTATATTTCTTGGCAAGTACCATCTCATCATTTCATAAATTAAAAAATATCTTGTAAGCTAGTATTTGCACTGGTATATATTTGGCAAATATTCAAATTGTACATAGATATTATTACTACCACTGCTTCCAACCCCCACAAAGTAGAGTTAGAGGTTTATTCTAACAGGTTCAGAACTGGTAAAACAAATACATTTTCCCGCTTTCATGTATTATTTGCAGGGACAAGCAGTGTTCACGCTGTGCACAAATGGGGAAAATGGCACTCTGAACCCTATATATTTAGAGTTTCCTTCTCAAATAACTCTGTGAACATGGGGCTAGCAAGATGCACACAATGTCAAGAATATGGTTAGAGGCATAACTACTGCTGCTTTGAAAACAGTCTTCCCCTTTACTGTATGGTGGGCTACAAATGACTGCATGCAACCAAGGGGTCATGAGACAGGGACACCAGTGTGTGGAAGGTGGAAGGAAGGCTGAGAGCATGTTTGCTTTCTATATTCATGTCAGAAGCATCACAGTTAAAATAAGGCATATTATAAAACATATTAGGGCATATCATAAAACAAGAAATTCAAAATATAAAACATGTACAAGTTAAACAGATCTAAGCCAGAAGTCAGCAACATGGTGTTCGGTTGCGCTGCCATAAGGTCCTCAAATGAGCACTGATCAGGGCACAAAAGGCAAATGTGTTGCCTGCATATCACCACAATCACAAAGCCACTGAAAAACCCACTTTGTTCAACCCTGGATCTTGTACCCGTATGCCATCTATTCAATAATTTCCATACTTTCCAACTTTCAGACCCAGGTGCTAACTCCTCCATTGGTTCCATCCAGTGTTGGTACTTTGTGGCTTTCCATAGGTCCACACTACTTTTTAATTCTTCAAAACGTTTTGTTGACCTAAGGAAGCTTCTACATTTTAATCTTTGATGATGAGCTGGTTGTAGACCCTAGAGGGAGTGTTGTTTGAATATTGATTTAAACCTCTATGCTGCAGCTTCTCTGCAGATGGTGGGTGGCGCAATACCGGCTACACAGTAGGACTTATCTACTGTGGGTAGGTTTAAGGCAGCTGGTGATAATTCTACTGGCTTCATTCAGAGCAACATCAACTTTACCAGCATGTGCTGATTTATACCAAGTCGGGTGTGCATATTTGCCTGCCAAGTAACAAAAGGCTAAAACTTGTCTTGTGAACCCTTGGTTCAGCACCTGAGGAAAAACCCATTAATATCCTGAGGATATTTCTTCCTCTGACCTTCAGTTTAATATTGATACAATGATGCTTATATGTTAGGACCCTATCTAAAGTGAGCCCTAACTATTTAGGCTATAACAATGCTCCAATAACATACCTTTCCATGTAATGTGCAGCTTCCCAGCAGCCTGCTTATTACAAAGATGGAAGGCACATACCTGAGTTTTTGCTCAGGTATGTGCTTCAACTTGGACAGCAGTTTGATAAGCAGCATGTGCAACTCTTACAAGAGCATAGGGATCTGCCTCATATAGAATCAGGCCTTGAGAGCTATTTTTTACATGGAATTGAAGCTACTTTTTGGGGTTTCAGTTTTCCAGCCCTACCTGGAGATGCTTGGACCTGGGAGCTTTTGTATGCAAGCCATGACTTTGTTTCTGCTTTTTGGCTCTTTATAGCATGAGCTAAACATGTTCATCTGTTGATTGCTGCAAATCAAACCACTATCAAGGGAGTTACTTGGGCTGTTTTGAAGAAAGTAAACCAACTGTGACAATGTGATGAGCTCTTGGGGCTGAAAATCCTTGATTCTGGGGGGAACAGTTAATAAACACAAGAATGGATGCAGTTTTGTTTTCTTGGGTGCTATTTAAGAGAAACAGGTTCTTTAACTTATCTAATCACAGCTTGGTTTCACCTTGGATGTGGAGCCTGCATGTCTGAGGGCTGGTAATAAATCACGGATTTGTTTTCCTGTGCCAACTCATGAATAAAAGGTGCAGCTAATCATTCATCAGAGTGGGGCCAAAGTAGGTGAAGTTGTATCTGAACAGACCATTAACCAAAACAAAAAAAACAAACCCCCTACTCTTTATGTGGCACTTGGAAGATTTGCAAAATCCCAGTTGTTTTGCTTTTCCTGACACCTACTACATCAGCCTTCATTGATTCAGTTTTTCACTCTAATGCAAGGCTGAGGTCTGTATTGTACTGATTTCAAGCTTACTTAGGTAACAGTGGCTGCCAGAAGTTGTTGCCTTCTGATATCACCAGCATCACATAATTGCTGCTATCATAGCAAAGGAATGCAGATAAACAGACAACATCCTCCAGACAGCTGGGGCAGCTGGGCAGGGAAGTTTGGAAGCTCCTCAAAAGTATCTGCTTGCCTTATTTTGGCCAAGAATAGGCTAGGCCTAAGGCAGTGCCCAAAACCGCAGATTCATCCCGAAGCTGCCCTTGGCTTGTGTGCACATACCTGAACTTGGCTGTAAGGAGAGTTGCCCCAATTCGAATGAATTAGAACCTCCAAGTCTCTTGCAATGTTGGCATGACCTCTGCATATCCCTTTTTCCCTTGCCTTTATTTCTTCCTAGACTGGATACACTATTTGCTACATGCAAGGGAAATACACTGTTCTTTGGTTGTGGTTGGTGAAGGGGGGCGGCATTGTAAAATGCAAGCTGTATTTAGTAGAAAATAAGTTAGTAGAAAAATATATTACATATGCATGAATATATTACATATACACACAATAATGACACAGCTATGAAGGGGTGCCCAGTGTCTCATATATGACCCTCTGCCTCTTGGAAAGAGATCATTTGTGTGTGCTTGATGCAATGAACTTCAGTCTTTCAGAAAATGAATTCATTCCACTGAAGCCAATGTAGGTGAACTAGAAAAGTTGAGAGAGCCCGAAAGGTTAGGAAATGAGGCCTGTGGAGATATGAGAACAGTGTCACCATTCCAGAGTGCAGTTCCTTTGGTGTCATGGAGAGTAAGACTGTCTGGCAAAGAGGGTGTCTCACCCAGAAGACAGAAGCAATCCATTGGAAGAGACTTTTCCTTAAGAGAGAAATACATACCTTGTGCCAAGGATATGTAGGGGAGCCTGGTCTACTTATGACAGACAGGCAGTTGGGTCTGTGATGGGGATGTAGAATGCATGGTGATTTGCCTGCCTGAAACAAAGCTCGTGGATGCCTTGGACTGTCTAGGTTGGGTGGGCAAGTCGTGGCCTTCTAGATGTTTTGGCCAAAAACCTCCATCAGCTGTAGCCTGGATAGCTATGGACATAGAGTGGTCAGAGCTGTAGGCAGGAAACTGTCAAAAGAAGGGGTTAATCCCCTGAGTGACAAGAGCATGAAAGGAGTACAAATGCTTTGATGGTCTTCGCTTCAGAGACTTTAGGGCTGAATGTGCCTGAATTGACATTTTCAGAAGTCAGAAGAACTGAGACAAATGGTGACTGAAGAAGATATTCTGGACCGCTTTGACAACTTGATTACAAATCTCCATTCCCCGCTAGTATCTATCCGACCTGAGTCTGGTTTCTGACCAGAGGAGTGGATGGCAAGCATAGCACCCCTTTTTAAGATGGGATCAAGGGAGAGATCAGGAAAAGTGCAGGCTGGCTATTTTTTAGTAAACTAGCCAGATTTCTTACAGAATCCAGAGATATAATGTACATAAAGCCTTCCCATTCATTTAATTCCCCTTTGAGTAAATTTTGAATAAACTGGTAGGGCAATTAAGAAAAAATTCTCAAGCAGAAAGATGTGTTGCTTGGCTTCTGAAAACAAGACTTTTGAAAAGCTTAATCCTGTTTCACTGAATTTAGAGTTTTCCAAGAGTGTCAATGTGCAGGTAGATGGGGTGAAGTAAGCATTGTTTATTTGAAATTCAAACAGCTTTTGACAATGTCTCTCTGTCACCACACACAGAAGAATCCTGAGTAAACTTCATGGGATGAGAAAAGAGATCATATGGACTGGTGGAAGGTTAAAGATGCATCTACCAGCTTTGGAGTAACTGTTGCAGAAAAACGAACAAGTGGGTCCTGGATCAAATCAAGCCAGAACTTTCCCTGGAAGCAAAAATGACAAAATGGAAGCTGTCATATCCAGACACATCATGAAAAGGAAGACTCACTGGAGAAAGCAGTAATCTTGGGGGAAGTCAAAAGCAGAAGAGGAGGAACTGTTTCATAAAGAAAGCCACAGTGTACAAGAGCTGAGCTGCCAAGGAAAGAAACTTTGGAGGACATTCATTCATAAGGTTGCTGTAACTCAGAGACAATTTGACAGCACAAACGCCAACAAAGCTTGACTGAATCTATCCTTCTACTTTCTGTAAATGTGTCCTAAGCTTGCATGCCACTAGGTGCTGCTAAAGTGCTACCACTGCATATTTTCAAACTACAAATGAATATTTGCACTGAGTTCTTACAGAAACCAGCGTAATAAGGTGCATAAAGCCTTCCCCATTCATTTAATTTGCTTTCATGCATGTGGATCTATTCCCTCCACTCAAGTACATGGACCACTGTTGGCGATTCTATATTCCCTGAGCCGAATATAGATTCCCTTTTTCTTGCTCTTCTGAGACCTACACCTACGAACATATCAAGTTGAACCACTGGCCCCTCTAGCTTAAGCCTGTCTACACTGGCTGGTGGCAACTCTTCGCGGTTTCAACCATGAATCTTTTTCTATTTCTGCCTGGGACTGATCCTGGCATCTCTGGCATGCAAAGTAAGTGCTCCATCCCTGAGTCATCTGGCCCTTCCAAATGTTCTGATGCAATATGTCCCTTTTGCATTTTGAGAATTCACGCAGCTCTCACACGTTACCCATTTTAGACTTGGAAAACACTCTGGTGAAATTCCCACCAAGATTGTTGTGTGACAAGATTATGAATGCATCTATTTCACTGCCTGTGACATGTAGTGAAATTATATATTATTTAGTAAATTACCTTGGTGGGAAATCCCA